GATGCGAGTGTAGTACATGTACATGACAAGTCCGTGTGTTGACTAGTTTTCTGAGTCTTGTGTCTCGAGTCTTGTTGTAGATACTACTTACTAGCCCAGCACGGCAGTGCTGGAGTAGTAGTTCCGTGTGTGATGAGTTTGTTGACTGCACTACCTGACTACAGCTAGCATGCACGCAGCGCATTGCTAGAGCCGTAGAGGCCATGCATTACATGCTGACGGAAAAAGTCCAACTCGGAAACGGCTAAAATACGGTATAACCTCGAGGCTTACCGAGCTGAAAATCACAGGGTACGTAGTGTTTGTAACACTGAATCGAATGGTCTTGGTCCGAAGAAGCTGCGACAAACGGTTCCCCAATCGAACGCGCTCCGAATATGGCTATTTTGTACACGACTAGATGGTGTGGCTACCTGGCTGCACGCTGTGACGTCATCACCTGGATCTGGGTGATGCGCGCTCAAATTCGCACATGTTCGATTGGGCGTATCTGACGAACCATAGGCCGCAGCCTCCTCGGACAAAGACCATTCGACTCAGCGACCCGAACTCTACGGACTGTGAAAATTAAATTTTTCACCGGACTTCCCCTTTAACGAGGTTTCACTGTACATGTATAGACGGGCGCAGTGTGGTGACCATGGTGACGGTTGTACTTGTGTGCAGGATTCTAGAGAGGCTCCTAGTCCTGCAGGACCTGTACACAACCATCACCACCAGGGAGTCGTAAAATACCGGTATTTTACGACTCTCTGATCACCACTGCACTGTGAGGACCTCTTCACCAATGTCCTGCGCCATAGATGGTCCTTCTTAGCAAGGACAATGCCGGGTGTCCACGAGTATTTTCACCCACTGGAGCGGACTCATGATTGCAACGAAGCTCATCCTGGCTCTGACTGGTCGATCACCACTTGGAGCAGAGGAGCGGTCGCAATGCCCTGCCGCCACGGAGGTCTAGGGATAGTCTCCCCTCCCTCGCTGACCACCCAGTTTGGTGCTTCCGTGAGGATCACAGAGGCCCTGGTCATGAAGATCCGGAGACAAGACATGTCGCTAGAAGGTGTTCCTGAGCAAACTCGCATAGCCAAGTCTGCTGTCCGGGAGGCTCGTAGACAACAAGAAGAGCAGCACCGAAAGGATGTCTTCAACAGCGTCTCTCCCGACCTGCAGCGGTGCATGGAGCTTGCGGCGGAGAAGGGCGCATCCAACTGGCTAACCTGCCGCCCTTTGGCACGGTTTGGCTTTGCGCTCTCCAAGGCCGAGTTCCGGAATGCCCTCTGTCTACGCTATGGCTGGCAGCCCAACAAACCAGTCGACTCAGCATCCGAAAGACGACAACCTATGGGCCAATCGCGGTCATCCATGCTTTTATAAGAACGAAATGGCGCTTTTAAATGGCGCTTTTAGTGACATTTTGCATACAAATCCCCATCTAGTAGGGCGCAGTCACCCAGTTTCGGTGGAAGTGCGCGAGTTCGATTAGGAATAAAGGAGAAACGGAGCGTCTCAGCTTCCTCGGACCAAGACCATTCGACTCAGCACCCCGACGACTACAACTGGTGAAACTGGTGAAAACTTTCGGATGATGATAGCCATATCCCGGACCAATTCGGTTGATGTCGTTCCAGTAAGAGGACAAAGATGTTAGGCGGCCAACTGCCGAGTCGTCGTCCGCGTACCAGTACAGCGTGCTCTACCCTTGTGCAATGGTCGCTCAACATGAATCATGACAAAACCAAAAACGGAGGACACAGAAATCACTAGACTCAATGATCGCAACAAAGAAGAATGGAGGTCAACACGAAAACTTGCAAGTCTGATTGGTGACGACGAGGATGTGCTGAGGAAGAAGCAACTGGCGACAGCTGCCTTTCGGGGCCTGTGGAACCGTTGGAAACGAAGCCAGTAAGTCAGCGAAAAACCTGGCCTACGGATACCAAGCCGTCATCATCCCTGTACTGCTGTACAAGTCTGGTGCGTGGACGGTTAGCAAGACAGCTCAGGAGCAACTGGACTCTTTCCATTGCCAGCTGAGGTCGCTTATAGGCATCGGGTGGCCTCAGACAATATCAAACAGCGCACTATACGCCCGATGTGAAAGCCAGCCGATCAGTCACACCACCAATATGTTGCGATGGAAGCTATTCGGACATGTCCTCCGACTGTCCGATAGCACGCCAGCCGTCCCGGCAATGGTTAACTATTACGCCAGCAATGACCTCAAGGGCTGGAGAGGACGGCCGAGGACCAGCCTACCGGGTACATTATATGCTGACTTGGAGGCAGCGGATGCCGGAAAGCTGAGTAATTTGGAGGATTTGCACAGAATCAGGAAGATTACAGCAGATACATGTAGGGCCGAGTGACGAGCTCTGTGTGAACAAGTGACGGGAAAGGATCTGTAAGGGACGGACGACACTGCAATATCTGAACTCCTCTCAACGTAACTGTGTCTTCAGGTACCACTGACTTTCTACTTCTGCGGCTCTTTTCTTCTGATTTGTCCCGTTTTGGTTCTGATACAGTAAAATACATAAAAGGTCAAATTTTGACCTTTTTATTTATTCTTTCCGTAGCATATTAATTTTGGTATCCTCCTGCTTTTGTTGTCCAGCACAAGCGAAGAAGTTGACCTATCAGTAGACTTAAACGCGAAAATGCACGTAATAATAGTAATAATAACTCCCAATGACTATGATTGCGCAGACAGGGCGCGGAGTGTGCTGCTGTGGAAGAAGGACGAATCGACGAGGTTCTGTGTTGATTGTCGGAGAGTCGATGCGATAACCGGAAAGATCCATACCCACGCCCGCGTATTGATGATACGTTGGACGCATTGGGCGGTGCGATGTACTTCTTGACGCTTGATCTGTGCTCTGGGTATCATCAGATGCCAATGGATGAGGCAGACAAGGACAAAACAGCATTTTCCACGCCTGATACTACTAGTGATAGCCATGAGTTCAATTCACAAATTGGTTTTGAGTTGAGTTTGAGTTGATTTCCCTGATCACCACCGGGTCAAAACAATAATACCAATGTTGTATTGCTTTTGTGTTCAATTATTTAAATTGATTTGATTTCCCCAATCACTTTAGTTTGATGATGATAATAATCATGATATGCATGCTGACTTGCCCGTACAAGTGACTTTTCACTATGAGTTCAATTATGTGATGCCATTTTGGTGTGTGGAATGCCCCGAGCTCATTTCAACGCCTTATGAGTGCCGTTTTGCAAGGTTTTGCAGTGGCAGATGTGCCTGGTATACCTCGATGACATTATCGTGTTCTCAAAGACGTTTGACGAACACCTGGAACGACTGGAAGCAGGGTTCCAAAGACTACAGGAAGCTGGTCTTCGGTTGAAACTCTCGAAATGCCAACTGTTGAGGACAGAAGTCGATTTCTTGGGTCGTATTGTCACGAAGGTTGGTGTGAGCACCGATCCGGACAAGATCGAGACCATGTCAGAGTGGCGGCGCCCAACGAACGTAGGAGTGGTGCGCTCTTAATGGGCTTCTGTGGCTAATATCGACGGTTTGTGAAGGTTTTCCTAAATTTCTCGGCCGCTGGTGAAGCTGACGAGTCAAATTCAGAGGTTTTCATGGGATGGCGAATGTGAGATCGCATTCCAATTGCTGAAGCAGAAGAGGTCTGCAACACCCACTTTGGCGTATCCGAGGTTTGAGACCAATGCACCCCCATTTGCGCTCAATGTGGACGGAAGTGGCCATGGTTTGGGAGCTGTGTTCTCCCAGGCCGACGCAGATGGTCGGGAGCGACCTATTGCGTATTATTGCGTATGCAAGCAGAGGGTTGAACTCCGCAGAGAGGAATTATGGCTCGACGAAGAGTGAACTCCTCGGACTAGTGTGGGCATGTAGGCATTTCAGATGCTATTTGCTGGGTCGAAGGTTTGTCGCACGCACAGACCCTCGGGCACTACAATACCTGAACAGCTTCAAAGAACCAAGTGCGATCGCGGCGCGGTGCCTTGAGTTTCTGAGTGGTTTCGATTACGAGGTGCGTTATCGACAAGGTAAAGTCCAGACCAATGCTGATGCAGTGATGGCTTGACAAGGTAAAGTCCAGACCAATGCTGATGCAGTGATGGCTTGACAAGGTAAAGTCCAGACCAAATGCTGATGCAGTGATGGCTCAACATAATTTATGCAGGATCCGAGGTGTGGCAGCACGATCCCAGGAGATGAGCAGATCGCTGTGGTATCAGACGAAAGGAGCTCAGTGGAGAATGCTGAGTCGGTCTAGGGTGACCTTCCTACGCCCTTTGTGCGGAGACGAGACTGGACATCAGATGATTAGGCTGATGCTCAGCAACATGATCAAGACACGGCTGAGAGAGTGGCTCAGCTCAGGGTCCTCTTCGCCTGACTTGACTGGGTGAGTCCGGCTCCAAGGCATTATTTCCGAGGCCGGGGTGTCACTGTGACTAGAACTTTTTACCAGATTCAGTCCAAGTAACAGTTAGTTCTTCTGGTAACCAAACTGAACCAAGGCGTAGACATCAACAGGAACACGTACATGTACATTCTCGTTGAGTTGGAAGTGTACACAGCCACCATAATTATATACATATACATGTACCTGTCTTTGTACATGTACTAGTAGTAGTACTGTTCTTTCAATCAAATGAACCCCTCGATAGGCATATTGCCTTTGCCTTTGGGTCATTTCATAATAATAATACGGCCATACACGTACATGCACATGACACGTTGTACAGATCTACTACAAAAATTGTAATCGCTCACTGCACTTAAAAAAAGGCGGTACATTTTATTATTATAATCATGTGACTTCAATTATTTATTCTTCTTTTTTCACATGTACACTAGCCGGCCAGGCTGTAGTGTAGACTGGGTCACTTGAACTAGTAAGTTACTTACTTGAAGAACCCGGGTACGAACCCGCGTAAACTGGATGACGCCTAGCATCTCTGTCATCAACCAGTTACCTCCTCCGATATACATATTGCTGATCATCACATATTGCCCGTTTTCCTGCGCCCAAAATAAGTAAAATATGCGGCCAGGGAATGACGAAGCCACGACGAAGAGAGCCTCACTCAGGATGGATGACGGAAGTGCAGGCGATCTGTTCTGAACAAGACGACCGGTTAGATGGACGACGAGGCTAAAGTGTAGGGCTACCAACATGCAGCCACGCTCAGCTTCAAAGTGCACAACAATAATTACATGATTACATGCACTGGGCCAAGCCCTTTCACCAGACCATCATCATGAGGATCAGTTAGTAATAGTTAGTTCACCATGTTCACCGCGAATGCTCTGCTGCCCATAGTCGGCATAGATCTATGCATCATGCATTTAGGGACTTCACTATTGACAATAGTGAAGTCGTGTAGTACTGAGCCTGAACAAGACGTACATTGTACATGATTGAGTACTGTACATCATGGTCCGCGCCCAGTCCTACTAGTACTACACTAGATCCACGGGACAAACCCTGAAGGAGTGACGACCCCGCGTGAAGGGCGCAGCGATCGCTGGTTTTGCGCTCGACTCTGCCGTAATGGCCCAGCAGCAGTAGGCCGCCACGGACGTCGACGCGGACGAAAGATGTCTTCACCTCCTCCCACCTGTCAGCAGTTCTCTTCTCAGCGGAAGGTCAGGCAGTTTTGATAGAGACGTGGGAAGGCAAGAAGGGGACCGACGTCGCTCTTGTGTTGCTTTAGTAAACCGCCATGAGCAGCCAAATGAATTTGCAACGAGATGTTCCCAGCAGCAACACTACCACCTCGACGACATCTTCGAGGCACAGCAAACCCAAGCTACCACCTTTCACGCGAGGCGAAAACCCGACGCATCCGTCCCCAGGGCCACCTTCACCAGTCAGTAACAACGTAAGGGCATCGACAGCGGCAGAACAACCGCATGGCCACGACCTCATCTCTTCTAAAGCAAGCGCTGCCGCTGCTGCTGTCGAGAGCTTTAGCGGCGCGACGACGGTAGGGGGCCTGCCGCATTTGGCTCCGCTGCCGAACCTAGTCGCTACAGGAGCGGTTGTACACGGTGTGGCAGGGGCTAGCAGCGCAGATCAGCAACGCAAGCCACCATACCAGCAACAGCAACGCGCCAAGTCCTTAGACTCGCCGCCGATGACTGCACGTCAGCCGCAGCACCAGCAGCAACAACAACAACAGCAGCAACAAGCTACGCTGCTGTATCAGCGCCGTGGCCCACAAGCCTCGACGTCCTCCACTGGCACTAGCTCCAGCTCTGGTGCTAATAGCATGTTGATAGAAACAGGTGTGTTGAGCCCGCGACGCGTGAGTCTTCCCAGCACGACCAGCAGCTCCCCGAGTCCCCCTCCAACCAGTCCCATTGGGAGCAGATTTCGACCTTCGAACCCGCGCACCCAGTCTGCAGGAAGTACTGCTAGTCGCAGCACAAGCAGTGCCTCCAGCGCTGATACTGCTGTGTTCACACCTGCTGCTGCTGCTGTTGGCGAGATGAGTCACTCCAGTCCATCACCGACTGCTACTGGCGGCCATACGAGCGCCAGCGCCATGGTATTCCAGTACAAACCGAGTGGAAATGCTGCTGCTGTTTCAGCAGCGTTGCCAGCGACTAGCCCGTCTTCTGCCAGTGCTGTAGCCGCATCACAACCGCGGAGTCCCAAGCGAGCAGGCCACAAGCACCACCATTTGTCGTCCGACGCGTCACTATCAGCAGCCACAGCCAGCAAGTACCCGGATTTGAGAAACAGGGCGCAAAGCGAGACTACCATCAAACCCGTGAGTAATAGCTACAAGCACTATCAACTATAGGGTACCTAAGCTTGTTTACTCTTGGTAGAAGAGAGGTTCTGCTATACGTGAAACGTAGAGAAATCACGTAGAGAGCAGGTGTCTGGGTTAGAGTCTACGGGTTGGCGTGTTTTGGGTCCAGATTTCTACCCGTAGATGAGGTTCTCTACGTTGTGGCACACGTACACGCAAAGAAAATGCGTAGAATGTACGGATCTGCTGGGTCTCATTCGAGTGCAGGCAGAAAACTGCCAAATATGGAAGGGGAAATTCCCAGTGCACATTCCACGTGACTTCTCTACGTGAAACGTAGAGCAGAACACGATTTCTTTACGCGACGGGAACGCGAAGAAAGTTCCCGTGATTCTTTGCGTCGCGTTCCCGAAACGTAGAGCAGAACCTCAATAGTGTTTCCATACTCTGTCCTGTATGCTGTGTTTCGTCATTCAAAAAAAAACACCAAAAGCTGTCTGTCTGGTAAAAATTAATAAACTTAAACACGCAAATACAATACACCACTACAGTAAGTCTTACTGCTGATCACACACACAGTGTGCCGCTCTCAGTTTCATTTGAGAAACGTTAGCCAGGGCCGGTGTGTGTGTGTGTGTGTGTGTGTGTGTGTGTGTGTTCGTCTGTGTTTGCGGCCGCGACTTTCGCCGTCCGAATGATTTATCCTTACACAAGAACTACTGCCTCGCCTAATAGCTATCATCGCCTTTGGCGATGGGCTTTCCAAAGGTCCAAAGGTGTGTGTGTGTGTGTGTGTGTGTGTGTGCATGTGTGTGTGTGTGTGTGTGTGTGTGTGTTTGTGTGTGTGTATGTGTGTGTGTGTGTGTGTGTGTGTGCGCGCGCGCGTGCGCGTGCATGCATGCATGCATGTGTGTGTGTGTGATGTATCATGCACATGCTGGAACTTGCTCAGTCAAGTTCTAGGCACAAACTATGCCATTTTGGTCGTCCGTAAACTCAACTGCTCAATGAAACTGCATCAGGATACTAGTAATGCCTTCACTACATCTACCTTCACTGATGAGCTGTGATGAGCTATGGATTAGCCAAACAGCTGTCTGAACATAGCCAGCAATCGCATGTCATCACGTACATTGAAAATCAACATAATTTTTCGAATCGACCTTTTTTTCAGGATCACTTTTCAACGAGGACGAAGCAAAGTCGGCCGAACGAAGCCTAGAGGAAGAAAATCACCCTCTCCACTTCACCATCACGATACTGACATAGATACGAGATGAAACAACTAAAAAATCCACAAGAAAACTGTACGGCCATCATCGCGCTGACTTTGGTCTGACTTTGGTCTGAGAATTTCTATCACGATCAAAAATGTACGAGGAGCACTCAAAAATAAGCAACAGACAGCAGGCGACAAATTTCACACCAAGGTTCAACTCGACGGTGACAGGAGTGCACCCAAAAAAGGTCAAACAGGCTAGTAAGTTGTACCCTGCAGGCACGGTGACCAGGTGACTGGTGTACGCAGGAGCACGTGACCGCTTGTTCAACCATGTTCGATTGGGAATAAAGGAGGAACGCTGCATCGCAGCCTTTTCGGACCAAAACCAGTCGACTCAGCGGCCAAAAGACTACAACATATGGGCCAATCGCGGTCATCCGTGCTTTTATAAGAACGAAATGGCGCTTTTAGTGACAGTTTGCATACAAATCCCCATCTCGTAGGGCGCAGTCACCCAGTTTCAGTGGAAGTGCGCGAGTTCGATTGGGATTCAAGTAGGAAGGGAGCGTCTCAGCTTTCTCGGACCAAGACCATTCGACTCAGCACCCCGAAGACTACAACTGGTGAAATTTTAATTTTTGCCTTAACTTCCCCTTTAAGAGGTGTCGAGGGTCAAAAGGATGAAAGGGTTTATTATATCGGGCATGTACTTATTTACGGACCTTTACGGTATTGGGTTAGCCTTCGGCAGTTGTAATCTGTCCACCCCATGGGACCCCAGTCACATAAAACCCTGTTGGATTGTGTTGCATTATCAGATTCCTGCAGCTGCTGCTGTTGCTGCTGCTGGCAATGATGATCCGGAGCAGGAGCTACAGGAGCAGCTGGCAAAGCTGGGAGCGTCGCTGAACAAGCTGAAGAGCTTCAGTCGCAGTAACAGCATGAACAAGAGCCGCAGCGACCTGGCCAAGGACCACCAGACGCAGAGCAAGACCACGGCCACGGCGATGGCAAGTAACCGTGACGACGGCGGCTCTCCGCGAGCAGCCGCAGCCAGGCCTCGCCGTCTCACACGCACCGCGTCGGATTCAGACTCTCTCCGCTACGACTTTGACCTCAGGCCCAGTCCCGGCCGCAGCCCCCTGGTAGTCAATGAAGCAAAGAAAGAGGATTCCTGTGGAAAGCTCCCCGATGTCCATCACAAGCGCAGCGCCGGTTCCAACCCGCAGAGAACGCGCAAGGAGATCAAGACCAGGAGCTCTGGCAGTGGAAGCGGCGAAGCACCGAAAGTGCGGCCAAAGTCCACCGGTATGGGACTAGGCAAGGGAAAAGGCGTGCACCGCTCAGTCACATTCTCCCATGGCAACGAGTCGGCAATGCGTCGCCATGTGTACGGAAGCAGTGGTGACGACCATCACGCCATTGCCGCGCTGCCACCGGACCTGTTGCTGAAGAGGATTCTGTTCGACAAGACCGGCAGTGGATCGTCGCCTCCTTCCTCGCCGGCTACGGTGAAATCCTGAATCTCTCGGTTATAGGCAAGGCCGAGGCCCGCTGTTGCACTCACGGAACACCTGACAGTGTGTGTACATCACCAGCTATGGTGAAATCCTGAACCTCTCGGATACGCCAGGTTGTGGCCTGCACTTACCAAACACCTGACAGTGTGTGTGGATCACCAGCTGCTGTGACATCCTGTATCTCTCTGTTAGGCAAGGTTGTGCCGGGACTGCACGTACCAAACACCTGACAGTGTTTGCAGATCACCAGCTACGGTGACAACCTGAACCTCTCGGATACACAAGCCGTTGTGGCCTGCACTCACCCAACACTGCCTGACAGTACAGTGTATAAAGCTAGACAAAAAAATCACTCATCAGAGTGATCATGAACAGGGAGCAGTAAAAATACCACTCTAGCCTGATTATGACCTTACCACCCTCCCTCATTTCCCTGTCCCTGCTCCTCACACTACTTGCATACCAGTAACAGCCAGCAGCAGTAATGGGATTATGTGTGCGCACGACGTCCCGGCGTCTGCCCATGCACAGCCATTGTCTGCATGCCATGCAGCTTGAGGATTAGAAGTAGATGAAGAATGAATAACTATAATGTATGTGTCAGTATAGCCAGCTCTGTGGCCTGTACGCGCTGACATGCCCTGCCGCATGCCGTCTAGGGAGCCCTACCCACTGATGGGCTGCGTAGGGCTCCCTGGTTTGAACAACTCGAGATCCTAATGATGTGTACTACCGTATGTAGCTGTTACTCTTACCACTTGCTCAGTCACTTACTGGGAGATCACCTCCCTACTTTGAATCCCACAAAATAATTTCCAATAATGATGATGACCTCATCGATCAGCAGGTCTCAAAAAAAGACCAGTTAATTCCATTGAATGACATCACTGAATGACATCACTGGATGAAGTATGTATGCATGATAATCGGACCTGCTACTGAGTTTCCAATTGGAGTTGTAAAAGTGACGTTGAAATGTTTCTTTGCCTTCGGCTACGCTTCTTTCACACACTCATAATACATGTACTTGCCACAGCTATATCCATTCCCAGCCAGTCTGAAAGAACAGTGACACGGATCCCTTCAGGTGTAACATTGTCAGTTGCTAATCGATTGTAATCACACTGCACGAGGCTACATTTTGTAGTTGCATGCACACATGGCCAGTACATGGCTCGTGTGTGTTTAAATTTTTTAATGCTGTGCTTACCTCAGTGAAGTCATGTGATCACGTCGCTATCTGAGATGCGTTGTATGAAAGCTACAGTAGTCACGGACAACTGCACAAATCTGCCAGTTCTTGCAATCACAAACACACGCCTGTCCCCGGGGAAAATTGCGGAAAAAAATCGCAAAAAACGCGGGGAAAAACGCGGCATAATATGGCATAATTTGCGGTGAATTTGCGGTAAATATGCGGTAAATATGCGGTGAATAATATTGATGTGCGGCAATTTTCAGTGAGTATGTAGTGAAATCAATCAGTTACAAGTCTCTGGTATAAGCACTCGTCATATTTGAGTAAAAAGCCGCCACGATGAGACGTTGCTGACCGAACAGTGCACTGTGTGTACGTGTAGTGCAACAAAAAAGTTCAAAAAAACGCTGGAAAATCGCGGAAAACGCGGTCTTTTAAAAAATCGCAAAAACGCGGAAAAAAACGCGGCCGCGGAATTGCAATTTTCCCCGGGGACAGACACGCACTGGTCTGTCCCTGCAGGAATTTGCGAAAAATTCTCGAAACTTGACTTGCGCAAGAAATTGCGGCAGAAAACGACAAAAAATGCGGCGAAAAGTGCGGAAAGATGCGGAACTACTTGCCAGGAAATCGCGAAATTATTTACAGAAAATTGAGGATTTGGGCCAAATCACGAAACTTTTGCATCCGTAGAATCGCTATTTGCGCAATATACTCCGGAGTAGTACAAGTCGTTGTGTACTGTGCAAATTACCTACATGTACATGATTATGGAAAGCACTGCTTGAACTGCTTGAAAAGTGCATAGCGGTAAATGGTTAAAAAAAGTGCAGAAAACAACGAAAATCGCGGGTTAGGGCCAAAATCGCGAAATTGGATGCATACGTGGAATCGCGATTTCCCGGAGGACCAGCCTGGTGAAGACGTTTCCTGGCAACAGCTACAGACACACACACACACACACATAACACTGGTGAAGACGTTTCCTGGCTTACAGTACGAATACTCCTACTGCACATTTCGACAGCTGACAAGAGCGAGGAACGGACACAACCACACCAACACCAGTAGCCAGCCGAACTGCACAGCAGGAGCAAGACGTGATACTTACGCCTGTTCCAACATGTTTCGACCAAAACTATAATGATATTGGTCCGTTTCACAATGAACAGACGCAATCATACAGACCAAAGGAACCCAACCGCAACCAGGTGAGTGTGTACTGGCTACATGCACTTTCTCTCAAACAGGTTCACAATACCTCTCAAACAGGTTCACAATACCTCTCAAACAGGTTCACAATACCTCTCAAACAGGTTCACAATACCTCTCAAACAGGTTCACAATACCTCTCAAACAGGTTCACAATACCTCTCAAACAGGTTCACAATACTTCTCAAACAGGTTCACAATACCTCTCAAACAGGTTCACAATACCTCTCAAACAGGTTCACAATACCTCTCAAACAGGTTCACAATACCTCTCAAACAGGTTCACAATACTTCTCAAACAGGTTCACAATACTTCTCAAACAGGTTCACAATACTTCTCAAACAGGTTCACAATACCTTTCAAACAGGTTCACAATACCTCTGAGCCAGGTTCACAATACATCTGAGCCAGGTTCACAATACCTCTGAACCAGATTCACACTAACCTCTCAACCAGATCACTGACCCTGCTCATCTAGCTGTAAAGCCGACACTGCTTACTCACTGGTACACACATACCTAGTTTATCTGGGCGGTCCGGGGAAAGCGGCACTGCCCCGGTAACTCCGAATGATCCAGGACCGAATCACATACATTTTGATAAGGAGAGGTCAGACATAATGGTGTGTGACGTCAGTTTTTGGACAAAGGAGTACATGTACTGTACTTGTAATAATATTTCCACTGAAACTCGCCCAAAGGGTGCCTGGTAGACCGAAGTGTCTGTAATTCCGGGGTCCAGATAACCGAGGTATGAGTATACATGTACATGTATTTGGACATGATGCTGCCAGTCACAGAAGTCACAGAAGGCGTCGGACCAGTATGGACCTAGCAGGCCGACGCACCAGCAGGCACATTAGCACCCCTGCGTGAAACAGCGCTGCAACACAGCAGCTGCTACCTTCAAATTCACACACAGCTTGAACTTAGAGCGAGAAGGTGTTTTTAAAATCACCAGTCGCAACAATCCTAAAGGTGAAAAATACGCGGATTAAACCTCCCCAGAGCTTTAGGCATGAGCAATGGAATGGAAGGGGAATATTTCGGCCTGTAGAGCATCATCAAGAAAGTAGAACTCAGTGAGAGCACTGGCTGAAACAGTGAAGTGGTGCCAGCACAACCAAACTACAGAGGCAGAGAGAGAGAAAATCATATGCTAGAAGTCAAAAACATAGCGGGAGGCTTCAACTCTCTCAAACTTATAAATACATAATGGAATGGGGAGGAGGGTATCCACATGTGAAATACTCGTACTTGGGCAGACATCCACCCACCTGATATCCACACATATCCGGGACATGGACAGGCCCCCGGAAAAGGGTAGATAGCCCCTGGCCATGAGGCGTACTTAGCACCAAGACTCATGCACTGGATCTGAGGCCTTGGAAGCTAACAGCCAGAAAATAAAAGCTTGAATGAGAGAGAGAGAGGGAGAGAGAGAGAGAGAGAGAGAGAGAGAGAGGGGGAGAGAGAGAGAGAGAGAGAGAGAGAGAGAGAGAGAGAGAGAGAGAGCGAGAGAGCGAGAGAAATATAGTGCTGAAAAAGCACACCATGACTAACTGTGCTGATGATAATAATAAATTAAAATATGATTCCGGCAAGGTGCCGTGTCTTCACCTAAATACATCCACTATGCGTGAGAACCTAAAGAAATTTTTCAAAGTCAAACGTTTTTTTGTTCAGACTTACTTACTTTCATCATCACTTGGACATCTGCTGTTGCAATTCGACATGGACTCCGGCCAGAACTGATCATCCATCCAGTCACTGTTCTTCAGCTTGATATCCAGCTCCCAGTGCTCTTCGAACATCCGATACAGTTCCATGGTGGCCCGTGCGTCCACAACGGAGTCGTGTTCGCCGTCCTGTATAATGCGCTGCAAGTGATGACGCGCCAGACGCCGCAGAGATGGCGTCACCGCCTCGTCGAGGTCCGGCACCAAGCGCAGCTGCTTGCAGCGCTCCGTATCGCGAACGCTCTCCTTCGGGTGTTTCAGAGCCAGCACACCGAGATCGTTTCGCAGCGCATGCCCCACCAGCAGAGAGTCGCGTAGGATTCGCGTCACCCGGCGCTGCACGGACTTGAATCTGACGGCTTTCTTCATGTGACGCGGCCGTATGCCACTGAATCGCGTGCGATAGTCCGTGATCGGGTGCTGAGGCAGCACATACTCATCCATTATGCATTTACCGTTCACGTCCACAATGGAGCAGCGAGCTAATTCACTCCGTCTACCTCGCTCGCCTGTTCCAACCATCTCGCAATCAATGGCCACGCATTTGCGCCCGGCTAGGTTGACGCTCTGCTCTGCCATTCGAACCTCGCACAGCGCCTGCCGCCGCTTGTCCAGTACTCTCTCCCTGGAAGGGTCATTACTGCAGGCACTGGGATGAGTTTTGAGCAGCTTCTTCGTCTTTGATCCCATCGCACCGAATCAGCCAAAATTCTGGTCCCGATATAAGCAAGCCCCAAGCTGAATAATCTGCTTTCAGATAGCTTTGCTGAGGTTGGGGCAGTTGGTTGGGATTGCACAAAGAAAGGCAATACAAAACTGCCCAAGATCAACAGTAAACTCGAGCTAGCATGCATGAAGACTTGAAGTCGAAAATTATTTTTTTCCTTGCTGTGCACATATATGTGCCATGATGTGGTCTCTCGTAGATCTGTATTCACTGAAATCAGCTGATTGCGAGCGCTATAGCGTGCTTCGCAACCATAAAAAAGCAATATGGCGTCTCTGGATGCCATGACAACAATGTTGTGCTTGAACCAGGGAGTCGTGTACTAGCATAAAATGGGTAGGACCAAGAGTAGATAAACAAGAGTGTGCAACTCCGGATCTCTCCTGCACAATCTGCACATACCCCGCGCCCACGGCGGAATTTTTTGTTTACGTCACCTTTTTTCAGAGAAACGCGGCTTTGCCGCAGAGCAGTGTGAGAGCACGTGCTGGGCACCGACCTTGTAGTGTAAAGCCCAGCCAAGTGCACGAGGGAAAACTCTCCAAAAGGCTCGCAGCGCGTGCGTCGTCGAAAAGATTACGTCAACAAAAAATTCCGCCGTGGGCCAATCCATCCGGAGTTGCACACTCTTGTTTATCTACTCTTGGTAGGACTAAAGGGACAAGCCCAACTATTTTTGCAGTTTTCTGTCATAAAAAAATAAACGTCACAGGCTGCTCTTCGCAGGTGTCCGCGTCGGAGCGGTCCGGGCGAGCGACCGCATCTCAGTGGGACACTTGTCCGTGGCCGTTGTACTGGAAATCTGTGGCAGAACCTTGCCATGCCAGAGGCTACACACACCCGGGTACCTATACCGGGATAGACAAATCCTTGGTGTTGCTTCTTTCATTTTTATTTGTTCTTGCTGAGAAAGAAACGTTGCTGCTTGGAAAGCTTTCTGTTCACTCCAGCGACTTTCCTCTAGTAACGTTGCTCACTGATAATGATCATAGCTCGTGATACCAATGGTGAAGAGAAGCTGGGTTTCTTGCCATTTGCAACTTCCTGGCTCTGAAAATATAGCTTGAACAAATAAGAGCTCCAAGTATTTTAGTTTTAGATTTCGATGTGCCAGACCTATCGTTACGAGATGCAGAGATGAGGAGCAAGGGAGGCGTTGGACTAATGCCAATAATGGTTTATGGCCCAGACAACGCCAGCGATTTTCACTTGTCAAGTTGGAGCAGGCAGATGACAGATTATTTGAGCATTTATAGCGGAGTGGGTGGTTTGCTAAAGAGAATCGTCTCAGTACCTCATGGTTACTAGTATCTGACAAATGCCTCTTATTGCTAGTCTGCATTATTGAGCATAGCAGAATTGATCATGTCACAAGTAGTGTCAAGACTTGATGGCCTACGATTATACTCAGATCATGTTGTAACTTCACGGGAATATCCGTCCTGCCACTTTACGCTCTCCCAAAATTGCCTGCAGGAGTCACGTGCCTGTGCAAGGGACAATGCGTTTGCATTGCTTACGGATGCAAGCGGATGGAGTGTAGACCAGATGAGAAAAAGTGATCCGGATATTCAACTAGCTTGGACCGCCATTATAAATTTGCCTGATGCCTGGACTATCTGAACATTGCTCCAAACCAATCCACAGAAGCAATACCCACACAGGAAGCCAAATGATAAACCCATTCATCAGCTATCGAACCTTTCATCAAAACATAATGCAGTGCATGCCTACTACTACTCAAACGAGATCAACGGATGCCACATGCCACACAGATACAACGTGGAGGCTCAGTATTTTCAAGACCCCGTGCAGTCTAGACAACTAGAACAACGAGGTTTGCACCTAATGTCCCTCGATTTGCTTGCCGTATTTAGTTCCTTGCAATTGAAGCAAGCCGTATCCGAGAACCGGTCACTGAGTTTGCAGTGTCGTCGTCGCGTGTATGTTGCCGTGGTGCTCTCTACCCTCCTGTACGGCGCCTCAACCTGGACAACGAAGGCTCCGGACCTACGACACCTCAACCTTTTCCACCATCAATGTGTCAGATCTATCGTTGGAGTGTCGCGACGGCAGCAATGGGAGACCCACGCAACGTCCTCAGCCCTTGCAAAGGCCCTTGGAGTGCCTGAGGACATTGGTCACATCATACGGGAATGACGTTTGCGCTGGCTTGGACACGTGGCACGGAGGGAAGATCACCGGTTGCCGAAGTGTGTTCTCTTCGGTGAACTGCCTGCCCCGCGCCCCGCGCGTGATCCACGCAAGAGGTGGAGGGACGTTGTTATGCATGACTTTGAGCCGGTTGAGCCACCGGTACCAACATGTGGATGGTACGATGCAGCCCAGAACCATCCGGAGTGGCGTGCCATTGCCCATCGACCACACAAGGCACCCTCTGCTGCTGGCTACGGTTGCGCCTGCGGCCGCATGTTCCGTCGAAGCGGCGACCTGAAACGCCATCAGTCATTCTGTCGTGGACTGGAGAAATAACAATGCGGTATCATTGCTACGCAATGGGCAAGGTCAAGGTGTGTTTATGGTGGTACAGGTAATGCTATGTACGCCTCTTTGGTCGCTCACACATTATCCATTGCCGGCATTGGTTACACGTTATTATCAATTTGTTATGACCTTCGCTGGTCTGCACACCCACCCACTCTACTCTCTACTCTACTCTCTGAAGTTGAGACTTTCGTTTGCCATTTCATCCGGTAGTTTGACTCTCTGAGAATATCCCTGCTACATGTACATGTATAATATAATTTATACTTTACAATTATCCTTGTACGTGTCTATCTTCTTGACACCATGACTTTCTTTGAAGGTCTTGTAGCTATGAAATGTTATTTGCTGCAGGCCATGTGTGTGGTGTGGTGTGTGTGTGTGTGTGTGCATCCGTGAATGTCCCACGCTTGGCCCGTGGGTAAATATACAGTCATGTATATGTTATATGCCACACCAATTTCGCTATCTGTATAATATTATGCAGCACAGTGGCAGGCATAGAGAGAGAGAGCGAGAGGGAGAGAGACGTTTTAATGTCTCTGATGTGAATTCTTCACTACTACATAATCTACATTGTACTTGTATGATCGAGCGTATGAGTGTGTGTGTGTGTGTACTTGTATGATCGAGCGTACAAGTGTGTGTGTGTGGGTGTGCATTTGCAGATTTGGTGCTTCTCTTGCGACGGGCGTATACATGGTGTGTGTGGGTGCATCCGTGAATGCCCCATGTGTGCGTAAATATACAGTCATGTACGTGTTCTGTGCCATTCAATTTCACTAACTGTATATGCAGCACAGTGGCAGGCATAGAGAGAGAGAGAGAGAGAGAGAGAGAGAGAGAAAGAGAGATACGTTTTAATAATGTGTCTGAGGTGAATTCTTCACTACTACATGTACTTGTATGATCGAGCGTACGGATGTGTGTGTGTGTGTGTGCGTGTGAATGTCCCACGCATAGCCACGTGCGCGGTGCCACACAATTTCATTATGTGTAGAACAGCGGCTGGTAGAGAGATAGAGACAGACAGACAGACACAGAAAGACAGAAACGGAGGGATGCTGCGCATAAACAGGGAGACAGCTGGAGAGTTACACAGACAAACACAGATAGGCAGACAGAAAGGCCGTGACGAAGATTCAGAGAAACACAGAGAGAGAGAGAGAGGGGGGGGGGAGAGAGAGAAGAAGAGAAGAGAGAGAGAGACACGCGCACACGCACACACACACACAGAAACAGAGAGAGAAAACTGAGAAAGAAAGAGACAGAGAACAGTGACCGAGTGAGGGACAAAGAGAGACACACAGAGAAAGACTGAAGAAGAGAAGCAGACAGAAAAACAGAGACAGACAGATGGAGACAGAGAAACAGAAAGGAAGACAGACAGACAGACAGATGGACAGACAGACAGATAGGGACAGGCACACGGACAGAACGAGATAGGCAGACAGCTAGAGAATGACAAAGACAGGCATACAGAAAAACCAAGACACAGACAGAGACACATAGACACAGAGAGAGAGAGAGAGGCAGACAGATAGATATATTAATAGAATAGAGAGACAGACAGACAGAGAAACATGTGGAGACACACAGATACGAGAGATTTCGTTCGTTGGATTTCTAATACTGAAGTAGTATAATACAAGTAGGTAGCAGCATAATGCACACAGATCTAGAGTGCTGAGAGTTGTCGAATGCGGCGAAAGCAGAGTGTAGTAGACACTACTGTACAGGAGTGAAGCAAAGCTGATTTGTTGTAATGCTGCCTGACTGCTTGCCTGTGTGCAATAATGAGGTGAACTCATAAAACAGTGAGCCGAAAAAAATATGATTAAAAAGCCGATTCACAAACCAGGTAAAGACAGGAAGAGAAGGAAAGATATGTGCGCATATACCCTGCACCCGTGCACGCACACACACACACAAACACAGAAGGGAGTTGATAGGTGGAGAATTGCGAAAACAGGGGACCCAGTGTGCCCTCAAGGAGATAAAGAGATAGAGATAGATAGAGAGATATTTTTGGCACAGTATATTCGGCCCTGGTTTAAATATGGCTTTGGAATTTATTTTTCATTGCAATCAGGTTCGGCCTCATTTCTCTGTGCTGTGCTAATGAGTCCACAAAGGACGAAACAGTTCTGTCCCCAGATTGGATAGATAGATAGATATAGATGAAGATAGAGAGAGAGAGAGAGAGAGAGAGAGAGAGAGAGAGAGAGAGAGAGAGAGAGAGAGAGAGAGAGAGAGGGAAAGAGAAAGACATAGGCAGCTGTCTTGGTCATTATCATCCGATGTATTCCGTGTGGCGTAGACCAGGTGTGCATTGAGAATCCTTTCACAAGGCATCGCAATAATTATAATTACGGAATTGGGCAGTAATGCTGTGCTAGTCTTGATATGTTTCACTCAGGTCATGTCTGATATCGTTGGCATAAGAGAAAATCAGTGGGTGTACATCCACTGCACTTGCAAACTTGCGTGTCTCTCTTGCGACGAATGCACATGGTACTTGGTGTCTGTGTCAATTGGCTCATTCTGTGGGCGAGTGGTCACTGCCTGAGTTCAATGTCGGAAAAGGTAAGTAGCTCTAGAGTGCAGTATAGAGAAAATTATGCCAAATACGCGGTCATTAGGAGAGACTATACCAGCAACTTCGACTCATATACTTCAATATCTAATTGGATCTGTATAGAAGACGCTGCTCAGTGGTATTGGAGTTGTGGTTGATCAACAGCGTATCTTTTAGGTACATGTGGCATCCATTGGTCTTGTGTGAGTGACACTAGGCATGAAACCGGACAACGTTGGTGAAAGGTTTCATTACCAAAGAACTTGATTGGTTTGCCATTTAGCTTCCTGTGTGGCGTCACATCGTTTCCGTGGACTGGTTTAGATTCTTGCCCACGTTTCCAGGAGTCCAGCCAATTAATAGCAGCCGAAGCTATATGAATAGCCAGATTATGTCTTCTTATCTGCTCTGCACTCCATCCGCTTGCATCAGTAAGCAATGCAAACACGTTGTCCCCTGCACAGGCACGTGACTTCTGCAGGGAATTCCGGGAGAGCGTAAAGTGGCAGGACGAATTACTGTGAAGTTGCCACATGATCTGAGTACAATCGTAGCACATCAAGTCTTGACACTACTAGTACTTGTGACATGACCAATTCTGCTATGCTCTAATGCAGACTAGCAATAAGAGGCATTTGTCAGATACTAGTAACCATGAGGTACTGAGATGATTCTCTTCGGCAAGCCACCCACTCTGCAAAAAAATGCGCCAAAATTAATAATCCGTCATCTGCCTGCTCCAACTTGACTGTCCTCCTGACAAGTGAAAACCGCTGGCGTTGTCCGGCCATAAACACCATTATTGGCATCAATCCAACGCATTAATCCAACGCCTTCGTTGCTCCTCATCTCTGCAGCTCATACCAATAGGTCTGGCACGTCGAAAAACTAACATACTCGGAGCTACAAGCTACATTTTCAGAGACAGGGAGTTGCAAATGGCAAGAAACCCAGATTCCCTTCACCTTTGGCATCACGAGCAATGACCATTTATCAGCCAGCAATGTTTTACTAGAGCAAAGGCGCTGGCGGGAACAGAAACAGCAACGTTTCTTTCTCAGCAAAAACAAATAAAAAGGAAAGGAACAAAAAAGGATCAACACCATGTACCAGGGATTCGTCCATACCTGGTACCCAGGCCAGGTGTGTACTACCCCTGGAAAGGCTCTCCCACAGATTGCAGTACAAAAGCCACGGCTAAGTGTCCCACTGAGGTGCGGTCGCTTGCCCGGACCGCTGGGACGCGGACACCTACGAAGAGCAGCCTGTGACGTTTATTTTTTATGACAGAAAATCCGCAAAAATAGTTGGGCTTGTCCCTTTAGCCTTTCGCGCATAAAATACTACTCTAGCTCTCTAGCCCTGGCTTGAACAAAAAAAAAGAATGTTCCTCTCGAAGGATATGTTCACTATTTTGCTAGCATACCGGTACTCGTACCGCGGTATGTTCAGGCTTTCAAAATACCAGTAAAGTCGCCACTTAGTCAAAGATCTAGGGATCGAGTTTACGTCTCTTGATCTGCTTGTTGCTCGTCTTGCAAGCCTCGTAGAAGTGGCGCACTGTCGGAAGCAGACATGGCGAAGGAAATTAGTTCACTCTCCAGAGCCTATTTGTTGCTCTACAACGGAATCCTGAGCAATGGGTGGCTGATCGTGCTCGTTCAAATGGTCCAGCACCTAGTCAAGACCGATGGTGACTATGCTGGTGTATACGAGGCGGTGGCTTTGCCTCTGCAGGTGTTCCAGACTGCGGCTATCCTAGAAATCGTCCACGCCGCCATTGGAATCGTTCCTTCCTCCGCAGTGGTCACCTTTGCTCAGGTAGACTCTATAATAGATGTGTTTAGTTGTAATGCGAGTAATGCTGTAAGACAAATTAACTCCTACACCCGTATACCGGTACATGTACATTCAAAGAAAAGGGGGGGGGGGGGGGTTGTCAACTGACAACCGCTCTGTTCAGTTGCTATTCACACTCGGCGCTTGCACTGAATGAAAAAATTAATTCTTTGTGATGTCAAAAAATTATGACGTTTCAGGCCAGTCCACGGCTGTTCGCGCACGGACATTTAACAATATGGCGTCGTTTAGTGCGATTTACGTAACACGGTACAAACCTCATGAATACGATGGGAGCTTGCGTTTTGGGATGAAACTGTGATAACTCGCTCGGACAGCGTTCCGGTTAGTCTCGCCCATGGCTGTGTCGTCTCTAACCCTCGGAACGTTTTGTGACAAGTATAGTCACGGCTGGCATAACGCAACTTCACCCAGTCCTAACCCAACACACACATAACCAACTGATCTCGTCAGAGCAGAGAATATGTTCCTGTTTGGAAGAAGAGCACCGAAAGAACCTCTCGCTAAAAGCAGCAGCATGCCATGATATAACACATCGTAGAAAACAGCAAGCAGCGGCAGTAGCGATAGTACTTGCTAAACATGCAGCTGAACTGCCACTTTGTCCGCTGCGCGGAACGGCGATCGGACACGCACACGCACACACATACACGCACAGGTCTGCGTGATCTAGAAGCGGCTGTCATCATAAGATACGCAAAGTGTGAAAGGGTATTAGAACGGGGCAAGCCTAGACCCGGCGTCTGGACCGCAACATGTACTTGATTAAAAGCATAGCCAGTCAATGGTCAAGCAGGTGCAATCACGCACATCCACACCTAGCGTACTACTACTACTACTATAAAGCGAATTCATAACTACAGGTATTGCACTTTCTACTGCAAATGCACAGTCGTGCGCTTCATCCATTGACAGCAGCAAAACCTATCATTTTACAGTCTCACTGGGTAGGTGACCTCGCCGGCACACACCGTATATTATATTGTACAATAACTGTTCCAACTACGGTCCGGAAGACACAGTGTGTCCACGTTCTACGCACAGTAGCTATCAGCAGTAAGTTAAAAGTTACAAGCCCTCACTCTCGGGCTATGACATCTCCCCGCGCCTTCGAAAAGACTGCCACGTCCTCGTGGCGACAACATTCGGCTTACCGTCGTCTTCTCAACTGGGTTTGCATTCCAAAATACTGCGGTGGCCGGACGGTCCTCCCAGCTCGAGTCTGAACCGCAATCTGGGCTGGTTGTGGCGGTGGTTGGTTGACTGGTAGCGGGATCTGCACAACTGGTTGGCCGCCAACACCGTCCACGCCGCCATACGTCTCATGCTGGGCATCCTCATCAGAATCCCAATACAACAAGTCTGTAGGGTCCGGCACATACACATCAGCCGGGGGCGTTTCGACAGACTCAGCATCTTCAGGTTCCTTCACCTCACTCACAACGAATCTGGTGATACGTTCTAGTCACGCCTAAGTGACCTAGATGATCATGGTACTCACTCAGCACCTGACCGCGCAACGCAACTGGCACCAAAATTTGAAACTTTGTGCCCTCTCCTGCGTTCTCACTGTGCAAAACGCGACATATCACGTCCTCTCGCACCACAAGGCATTTTCGTCCTCGGAAATAATGCCTCAGAGCCGGACTCACACCAGTCAAGTCAGGCGAAGATGACCCGGAGCTGAGCCACTCACTCAGCCGTGTCAATTCATGATCACGTTGCTGAACATCAGCCCAATCAGCTGATGTCCAGTTTCGTCGCCGCACAAAGGGCGTAGGAAGGTCACTCTGGACCGACTCAGCATTCTCCACTGAGCTCCTTTCGTCTGATACCACAGCGATCACCTCATCAGGGACTGTGGTGCCACACCTCTGATCCTGCACTTGTCGAGACAAGCCATCAGCATTGGCATGGACTTTACCTTTCCGATAACGCACCTCGTAATCGAAATCACTCAGAAACTCAAGCCACCGCGCCACGATCGCACTTGGTTCTTTGAAACGGTTCAGGTATTTTAGTGCTTGATGGTCTGTGCGCACGACAAACCTTCGACCCAGCAAATAGCATCTGAAATGCCTAAATGCCCACACTAGTCCGAGGAGTTCACTCTTCGTCGAGCCATAATTCCTCTCGGCAGAGTTCAACCCTCTGCTTGCATACGCAATAGGTCGCTCCCGACCATCTGCGTCGGTCTGGGACAACACAGCTCCCAAACCATGGCCACTTGCGTCCACATCGACTACAAATGGGGGCGCATCGGTCTCAAACCTCGGATACGCCAACGTGGGTGCTGAAGACATCTTCTGTTTCAGCAATTGGAATGCGATCTCACACTCGCCATCCCATGAAAACCTCTGGTTTTGCCTCGTCAGCTTCACCAGCGGCCGAGAAATGGATGCAAAATCCTTCACAAACCGTCGATAGTAGCCACAGAAACCCATAAAAGAACGCACCTCTGCTACGTTCTTTGGGCACCGCCACTCTGACACGGTCTCAATCTTGTCCGGATCGGTGCGCACACCATCCTTCGTGACAACATGACCCAAGAAATTGACTTCTGTCCTCAACAGATGACATTTCGAGGGTTTCAACCGAAGACCAGCCTCCAGTCGTTCCAAGTGTTCGTCAAACGTCTTTGAGAACACGATAATATCATCGAGGTATACCAGGCACATCTGCCACTGCAAACCTCGCAAAACGGCACTCATCAGCCGTTGAAATGAGCTCGGGCCATTGCACACACCAAATGGCATCACGTGGAACTCATAGTGCCCATCAGGCGTGGAAAATGCCGTCTTGGCCTTGTCTGCCTCGTCCATTGGCATCTGATGATACCCAGAGCACAGATCAAGCGTCGAGAAGTACATCGCACCGCCCAACGCGTCCAACGTATCATCAATACGCGGGAGTGGGTATGGATCTTTCACGGTTATTGCATTGACTCTCCGATAATCAACACAGAACCTCGTCGATCCGTCCTTCTTCCGCACCAACACAACTGGTGAAGACCATGGACTGACCGATTCTTCGATCACACCCTGTTCAAGCATGTCGTCAACCAACTTCCGACATGTTTCTCGCGAGCTCCAAGGCAATCTCCTTGCGGGCTCATAAACTGGACCATCACAGCTAGTCCTAATCTCGTGTTTCAACACGTCTGTCCGACCCAGCTCGGACATGTTCATAGCGAATACACATCTGTACTGCTCGACCAAGGTTCTGAGCCTAGCCAACTGCTCGGCCTCAACCACAGGCTGCTCGCTGTTGCCTGTATCAGGTGGGGAGCATGCCTCCCAGTTACCCTCCTGAGAGCAACAGCCATCAGGCATCGTACCACGACCACGCTGGTCAACGTCGGCCTCGTGTACTGCCTCATCATCCCTCATCGCACAATGGTGTGACCGACCATCGTCATCACCACCACCGGTTTCAAGCAGCCTCTTCCCGCCTGGAGAGCGCTTCCCTGCGCCGGGACCACCATCGGGGTTCCCCACTCGCAGTACAGACCACAAATCCTGGTTAGCCCCGTAGCTACACCAGTCATTCGCCTCGTCCAACTCTTCACTACCGTCCACCACAGTTGCAACTGCACACAGCTTGCCAATCTGGGCTCTCTTGGGCAGAGTGATTTGTTCCACCGTGCAATTCATCAATCGCACGGGAACACGATTCTCTTGTGGCCGCACAACACACTTTGCCACCAAGAGACCAGGGTCGCTCGCAGTCCCACAATCTGGTTCCGTGAGCCCCAACTCTGGCATCCCATCGAATGCAAGAGTGTCCACCACAGCCGCCACGGTCATCTCGTGGTGTGGTGGGAGAACAATCTTCTCCTGCAAGCGGAGCGGAGCCTCATCTGCACCACCCCCTCGCCTTTCTTCGACCTTGAAACATAGCTTGCCATTCGCAGAGGTTATGTTACAGGGAATGCTGGACAGCACATCACGTCCCAGCACACATGGAAATCGTAGCCCATCGACTACCCGCATTTCCGGCGAACAAACACATCCTTGAACGCCAAGGTGAACAACCACTTTTCCGTTCACCACCAAAGGCTTACCATCTGCCCCACAAAACTTCAACCCAGGCGCATCCGCCGTGAGTCGATCCGGATCGTAGCCCAGCTTCCTGGCTAGATCCGCAGATACTAAGCTTACAGCCGCTCCAGTATCTACCAGCATCTCCACTGACAACCCATCGATTGTCCCCGTGGTCAACATCCCCGTTCCAGAGTCGCATCCGACCATAGGAATGGATTGTTCGACAGCACGCTCATCAGGTGCTGTCGGATTACACTCTCGACCCAAAGAAATGGTCTGACCAGGCACGTGGGCCATCGCCCCAGTCACTGGCCGTTTCCCAAAGGCCCTCTCCTCGAGCCATCGTATCCTCCGCGCCCCGTCTGCGCTTCACGAGGACATTGGGCTGCCCTGTGGCCCGGTTCACCACAGTTCCAACAAGTGAACATCTTCACTCGTCGAGCGGGCTCCTGATCCCGAGTTCTTCCTCGGCCTCGCCCTCCTTGACCACTTGGAGCATCACGCCTCTCCAGTAGTTGGTCGAGCGTCCTCACCAGGCTGCTCAAAGTACGCTCGAGGACGTCCGTCTGTCCTCTCGCTGGAGCCTCAGCAACATCCACAGCGGCCGTCACCAACTGTGTTTGCTGGCTCTCTCCGTAGGGGCCCACCAGCCTCTGTGGAGCTTCGCTTGGCAAGTCAACACTTCGCCAAACCTTTTCCAGGTGCAGCGCCATCTCTAATGCCGCCTGCACCGTCGCCGGAGGATTCTCCTGCAGCCTCACTCTCAAAGCCACAGGAGATACCGCCTCGATGAACTGGTCCCTCACCAGCTCATCCTGTAACCCACCCGGCATGTTGGGGTACGCCCGCACCACCAGCCGACGCAGATCATCCGCCAGATGCGCTAAATCCTCACCGGATTTACGCCTCCTCGTGCGG